CAGCCCACTTCCTCGGAAGTCCACGAAAGCTTATGCTCTAATAAATTTGTTAGTCTCTAAGGTGCCACAAGTACTCCTGTTCTTCTTTTTGCGGATACGGACTAACACGGCTGCTACTCTGAAACCTCTTAAGTCAGTGAACAGACCATGCTCTATTGTGTAACGTTCACTGGAAAATAAAATCACAGACAATTAGGGATAATGGGACTCCCAAGCGGGTGTCACTGGAAAGGAAGTGCTAGGGAGGAAGTGTTTGCCCGGAAGCTACTTCTGTGCATAATCACACTTGAGTTGCTTCTTCTCTCAGGTTTTAGTCCACTGAAGCTTTCTCAAGGATCTGATTCAGTGACTTCCTCTGCTGCTCCTTCTTACTAAATGGAACTTGTGAAGAACATTTGGAAAAATAGTTTATGTCCCACGTACCACTGTCCATTTGCCAAGCATATTTGCTTATGGGAAGTCTAGGCACCATGCAAGATACTCGCAGAGTGTAACTTTGCCCTTAATTTCGTAGAACTGGGTGCCACATGGACACCGGCTTCCTTAAGGTGGCCAACATCTGGTTCCAGTGCGTGATGCCCATGCCGCTGGCCGACGGGCCAATGATGACATGGCCAATGTTTTCCGCTCTCCCATCTTCGCAACACTCTGCCACCGTCACCCGGAGAGACAGATCCTGGAGGGGCACAGGAAACATTACCAATGTCCCATTGCATTATTTATTTCTTTGTATTGAGGTAGCTCCTCAGAGCCCCAGTCACAGACCAGGACCTATTGTGCTAGGCGCTGTACAAACACAGAACAAAAATTGAGTCCCTGACCCAAAGACCCTACTGCAATCTAAGCACAATTTGATGCCCGATGGCAGTGAAAGGCAAGGGTCAAGTATCATGAGTGAGGTGGTGCTTGAGGTATCCCTGAAAACACAGTCTCCAAAATCTCCTGAGAGTAGGTTCTTATGAGACTCAAGGGGCCAAACTCTGAGAAAAATCTACTGGATTCCAGGGGAGTACAAGCTGGGGAAACTTACGCTAGCACAGTGTGTCTGTGACATCTATTAGACTCACACTCACTTCCCACTTCAGCCCAGACCTGAAGAAGAGCTCTGTGTGGCTCGAAAGCTTGTCTTTCTCACCAATAGAAGTTGGTCCAATAAAGGATATTACCTCCCCCACCTTGTCTCTGGAATATAATAAATAATCCTGCCAACAACACACAAGGTGGAATAGTCTCCCATGGGAGTGCTGGCTCTGCGTAAAAACCCATAAGCCTTATTTTTGTCACTCAAGTCAGCAGATCTGAATCTGGACGCACAGAGGGAGCTGATCTGCTGAGGGACTGGGAATCATGTATACACAGGCCCGTTGCAGAGTAAAAGCCCACTTTAATACTAGCGGATAGGGTAGCTTTGGTTACTGCCTAAGGGGTCAGCATTACGAATAATTAGCACTGGAGAGTGTAACTCAGACCTCAGCCCAAGGAATATTTCCATTGTGTACCGAGTACACAGCAGCCCCTTTCTCGCATGAGCTGAGCAATGGAACCGGCTCTGTGTGAGCCTGCATGCAAAGTGGAGATTACGCTGATTAGTTTAGCGACCCAGCTCTGCTTTTCATTATGTCCCACGCTACTTCCAAAACAGAAATGTGTTAGTCTCTAAGGTGCCACAAGGACTCCTCGTTTTTGCTGATACAGACTAACATGGCTACCCCTCTGAAACTAAGAAGAAATGAATTGCAGAGACAAGTCCACAGCACATTCTCTCACATCCCAGCCAGCTGCCGGGAACAGACAGGGGACCTGCTCCCGGGGGCCCTGAAGTCAACAGGCATCTTCCCACAGAGTCCCTTGCTGAGAGTGGCTTGGAGAGAAATGACCCTCCCCTTAAACTCAAGATGGAAAAAACAAGCCCAGCACTACTTCTTCCTACTTAAGGAGCTCCAGCACAAAGCCAGTGCAATTCTGTTCATGTAGGTGGCTGGGTGGAAGAGCGTTCCAGCAGAATAATATCTGTCAGCACCACGAGGGCCAGTTTATGCCAGAGTGATGCTGATCTGGTTGTCTATTAAATTCCCCTTTGTAGAAATCCTCCTCTAGAGCTACGACTGCTTTTCAACCAGGCCAACCCCTGAGAGCAGCTGAGCACCAGCTCACAGTGCACCACGCCGGCTGATGTCACACAGCGTAGCAGACACTCAGCACCCTTCAGGATACAGCCTAGAAACTTTCACTCACAAGGAGCCCGATCCTGCTGGGAGGTGCTGAGCATCCTTCGCTTTCGTTGACTTTAACGGGGGCCCCAGAAATGACCCCAGCAGTTCCCCTCTTTGAAAGCCTTGTCGTTAGAGATGTGTCTGAATGAGACAGCCTGGATTTTGAGTTCTGGAGCAGTTTAGTTCTGGAACTACGCTTTTTGCCTTTCCATACTTACCATGCAAAGTTATGCTCTGTCCATCAGCACTAGACAGAGTGGGTCAGAAAACGATGGTGTGTATTACACAAACATTTCAAAAGAACAAGCATCTTTTCATCTTGTTTGAAACTTTCTGTTAATTGCTTATTATTTTCCCCTGGTTGTGAAATTTTAAACAACGCGTCATTTTGGTAGGAAAAAAAATAACTTGCTTTCACTTTTTTAAGTCTTTTACCCAATGGAAAAAAAAGGGGAGGAAAAAGTGGGAGCAAGTGGGTTCCTCCCCCACTGAAATGAAACTTTCCGGAAATTTCTGGGGGGGAAAAAAAGGTCAATAAAAGAATCCTTTGGATCAAAATGTAAGTTTTTCATGAAAACTTCCACTATGGTTGAAAAAAGCATTTTTCATTGAAAAAAAGTTTTGGTGGGAAATTTCCAACCAGTTCTAATCAACATGTTTCTGATTCATGCCTTGGTATTTATCCAGTTCCCTTACGTTTCAAGAGCGCGACTGCATTACTGACACTCAGAGAGACGACATTCCCTTGCCTGCCAAGGCTTCCAACTTGCTGCCTTTGCTCCAGAGCTGTGGCCCACTGAAGACAATTGCCGGATCTTGCTCCAATCAGTCAGTGAGCGGTAGACCCAGCTATTCCATCTGTTTGGCATGGCTGACTTTCATTCAAAAAGCCCATCTCTCCCAAATGTTCAACCACAAATTCCCTTGTTACAGGCTGGAATCGTTTACATGGGATGGACGTCAGGCTAAGCAGAGGGCAATTTCCTGCATTCCCTTCCCTACACAGAGCTCCAGTCCCATGTTTGCTTCTTCCCAGGTGGGAAGTGCTATTAGTGCCATTTTACAGATGGGGTACTGAGATGGCACAGAGAGACTAAGTGACTTGCCCAAGGACACATAGGAAGTCTGTGGCAGAGCAACGAACTCCACCTGGGTTTCCTGATCCACAGCCTAGCCTCCTAACCACTGATCCACCCTTCCTGTCTCCTGAGTCCTTGGACTTATTGAAGCTCATTTTCTGAGATTTCCTCTCCTGGTTGTTTTGAAAAGTCTCAAGTGTGTTTCATCGGCACCTGCAGCTTTATACGCTACAGATCTAGCTTTCACTCACTGCCGCTCTAGCCATTTTCACTGACACATTCATTTCCTTTCTCTTTGTCCAATTCTCCCTGAACTCAGCGCTATCACTCTCACGGTAGGAGGAACAGGAGGAAACCCCTGGCGATGTTGTTATGGCAACCATACCTTAATAGGCTCTTTCCTGTTTCCATGCCACTGAAGAAAGCTTCCTCCTTATTATCTGTCCTTTGAAGGTGTCTCCTTCAGACACGTTTATTAGCTGCTAACACCAGAGCCTCTGACTTGCTAAATGAAATTACTCTCTGCTTTCAAGCCGGGCAGTGATCCTGGTTAGATCTCAGCTATCGGCCCTCCTGTTTCAGCTGCAGGATTTAATTTTAATGTTTCTCTGATTTGCACCAGGGAACTCACTGCCCGAATCTCTTCCCTGATATAAGAAGCAGACAAACTCCGGGAGATTTGTAAAATGTAAATGTCAGGCTAAGGATGAGTGAAGATTTATAGCTCAGTCTGTAGTTCTAGTTACATACTCAGGCCCTGGTGTACTGTAATTTCCGTGATGTGGGGGAGGAGGGAAGGTGCAGTCTTGAATGCACCCTGTTGGGTAGACCCAAGAGGCAGGTTTGGGTGGATCTCATGAACGGTGTAAAGTTTTCTGGCTTTTTAAAAAAAAAGTTACAACTCTTCAGTCTGCCCTTGACTAGGAAGTTCTCACCTGTAGGACGATTGCGGGCACTGAGAAAATCATGGCCTCATTAAACACCGGATTTGTGTCACCTCTCTTCGCAGCTGTCTTCTTCTTGCTGATCTTCCTCCCGTCCTGAAGCAAGTACACTTTGACGAAAGGATCTGTTTGGACAATGGGAAGCAAAGAACCATCATTCACCAACTGTCCTCCACCCATAAGCAGAGACAATGTTGAGTGAGCGCAGGGAACACGGCGCCTCAGGGAAAAGGGGTATATGCACAGTAGCTCAGAGATGATGTGTAACTGGTCATGGGGAGGCATATGACTTCTCCATGCGTTGCCGCTGCAGGGTGGGAGTGACTGAGGGGCATGGGAGGGGGCAGGAAGAGACGGACATGTTCCTGTCTATTTGCTCTGCTGTCCCCCTCTCTCTAACACCCTTGGCGAGGCCCTTCTCTCCCCCACCTTTGCTCCCCATGGCCCCTCCGCTCCCAGCCAGCCCCACAGCGGCTAGTGCGCCGCATCCTGAACCCCACCCCAGCGCGGAGAAACCGCAACCGAGTTTAGGAAAGCGCTGACACTGCAAAAGCCTGCCCCGGGCCAGCGGGCGGCATTTCAGCACAGGTGCTGCTGGCCCCTGCCTGGAGGTGCCGCCCCTCTCCCAGTGAGGTGAGGCAGGCAGGGGCTGGAGCAACGAGCGCAGGGCGCCACAGAGCAGGTGACAGCATTGACCATTACTAACAAGGATGGAACACAGCTCTCGGAGCGTGGGGGTTCCTGGACTTGGGACAAGCGGGGCTCACGGCTGAGGTGAGTCAAGGGGTGGATCCCTGTCGTACAGGGCTGGCATCCCTGAACGTTCATCCCTAGCGGGGCATGTCCCACATTTTGAAAATCTCTGAATAGAAGCTGTTGCTAAATGAAAGGCAGATAG